ATTAAAAAAATAATGGTAAGTTTTAATAAACTGAATGTGTAAGTCCAGAAACCAAAAGCTGTTGTTTGTGATGCTGTTAGGGGAAGGGAGCGAGACTTATAAAGCTCAACAGACTCCAGAATCCAAAGGACCAGATCCGGAGTACCCCCAGGCCCCGCTGGGGACGTGGCTCTCCCCGGGCCATTGGGGCAGCCCCGAACACGTGCAAGCACGGGGAGTGAATACCGTCCTCCAAACGGGGTGACACAGATGGCCCTCTTGCAGGGAAATTACCCCACTGTAGCTCTAGTCTCTTTTTAGGGTGGGTATCCCTATTTCCACAGTTGGCAGAAAGCTGGCTTTTGTAGCAATACATCCTTCAGGGCCCACACTAACAATCTGCCCCAGCAGCCCTTTGCTTTTGCCCTGGATGGGGAGGAGGAGGGGAAAAGAGACCTCCAGCTAATGAGAATCGCCCTGGGGCTGGCAGAGCCACTGGCTTCGGGTTGAACCCTGGTGTTGTGCAGAGAGCCCCGGCCGCAGCCAGCTCCACGGACGCTGCCACCACAAACACGCCACTGGGACACAAACAATCCCAATAATTGTTGCATGTAACACCCAAGAAGACACACAGTGTCTCCTGGGATCAGGACACAGGCCACAGTGGCCCCTGGGAGCAGGCTCCCAGGGCAGAATTGAACAGACAGCCTGACCCACTCTCTCAACTTGAATCCTATCTCCCTTGTCCCCCCAGAGCAGATACTGCTGTTGGACGAATGTATAATTTTGGACATCTGTTCAGAAGGCTGTTTGTATTTTATGTGCATCTGAAGATAAGATACTATTGAAACTGAAAAGAAGCCCGTTCCGCCAGGCAAGCTCTACCCCAGAGAAGCACGGGAGGTATGTGTGTCCTGCTAAGACCGTATGCTTTTGGCCCTTCCAGAATTGCCCAGGGGTTTCTCACCGGCTAAGCCTCTGTCAGCAGCGTGCCGATTACCCTGGCTGTGGAGAGGGGAAAAGATGAATACAGTTCTACTCAGAAATACTGCTTCTAGGTTTTGACATTTTATTTATCTCAGCCCTTAAGCTTATCTCACTTCAATATAGTAAAACCACCAGCTCGCCCAAATCTCAAAGCTTAATCCACTGCACGGTGGAGAAGATTCTGAGGTGGAGTTAATTGTTCTGGGTCAGCTCATCTTTCTTCCCTCTTGGGTTGACTCCCCGCGAGAACAACAACACAAAACCGCATCAGCAACTTGCTCCTGGATTAAGGTGTAATCAGTGACAAGGCCAGCTGGGAGTGAAAGCTCATTAATCTGGCACAGCAGCGTCCCACTCCGTCATCCAGGGCTTGTTGATGCAGCCCGGTCGGAAGCCCTCGGGCACCACAAGGTCAGCTGCCTCCTAGCCTCTTCCCTATTCTAATACACCAAAGGCATTTGCCGCTTGCTCCCTGAGGCCAAGTCAGCTGGTCAATGTTGTCAAGAATAAGGGCTCAGCTGAAATGTGCCACGTATCCATTTGTAGGGAAAATGCTGCTCTGAAGGTCCTAGTGCTTTGAAAACCAGTTACATACGAGATTAAAATTATATTTGCTTATTTGCTTAGGTACAGAAAGATCGACCACTTGGCAGATGGGACTCGAGAAGATGGATACGCGTGAAATGATTCAAGTTTATTAACTGGCATTCCTGCAAGTACGTGGGCTGTTGTTTACTAATTGCGGGGCATGGAATACACTGTAAAAATAAATTAAGAGGATGCAATAATGCATGTCTAGCACTTAGCATCATGCCTGGTACACAGTGAGTATTTAATAAAAGCTAGTTTTTATCATTGCTGTCATTATTGCCGTTATTACTAGCTTCATTGCTATTATCATTAAACCAGCAAGGTGCTGGGTTTAAGGGCTTAAAGTCTAGTTGAGAAGAGAAAATATACACCTGAGCAAAGTAAAAAAGCAACACTTATATCTTTATTAAAACTCTTATGGTTGTATGACAGTTGGTCTATTTACATTAGATTTATCTTCTTCTGAGATCTAGCAGTTCTGGGTGGCTGCTTAAGTACCTAATCCAATACAACTGCATAGGGCAGATTACACGCCTCTTTTGCTTTAACTGTCCACAGACTTTTGCCCCCCTAAACAATTAACACCTGGAAGAAAAAGCCTGCCTGCTGTTGATCTGCGTGCTCATCCACCTTCCCTCCCCTGGACCAGAATAAGAAGAAAGATTAAAGGTGTTAATCCATTCATCTATGTTGAATAAACAAATGAGAATGAGAATTATAGGTTGATATATATATGTATGTATGACTGATTCTAAGATTGAAAAGTCAGAGGGTTGTTGTGGCCACACTCTCTACAAAGATTACAACCCTGGGCTTGCGCCCTCTGTAGGGAGGCCTGATATTACTGAAATACGACATCACTTTCATTTCAATAACCTCCTCCTCCCTGAAGGTCAGAAAAGTACATTAAGTACATTCTTCCCAGACCGGGGCGCAAGTAGCAAGGCCCCGTTGGAGGGAGAGGGGCACGCTGAACGTGAGCTTCAGCCGTCTAGGAAGGGAACGTGCCCCTCCAGCGTGCCCTTCCCGCGGCTCAGGTGGACAGTAATGGCTGCTAAAAGCCTGTCCCACTGAGACAGAATTGCATATCTTTTAATTTTCTAATAGGCTGACTACACTTCATGCGACAGGTGCATTGCAGAATATAAGCTGTCTTTTACTTTCATGTATGTAAATACATTAGAGAAATTTACCAACGAAGCATAAGCCTACTCAGTCACTGAGATTCTGATGAAGAGGGACTGAATTTAACCAATACAGGAGATGCTAGGCCCTGAATGCATTAAAGAACTCCACTGTTTGAAGTGCTACAAAACTGGCCACACTTTAATTCAGTTACAAAGTTTCCTTGTGATATAAACTCTGCATAATTGGCCTCCTAGTTGGGGGAGGAGTTAGATAGCCTAAATACCTAACAAGTGAAAGAACAGACTCTATTCTTTTCCTTGGTCTATTAGAGTCTTCCTAAAGCACAGAGCAACTGATCTGGGGCTTCCTGTACATAGTGTCAAGACTAATGGAAAATAGATATCAGGTAAAAGTGAAATTTAATCAACAGTCCCCTTGCAGGGTTTGGCAGATTCCTTGGGGAATCGATCCAATCCAGGATCCTCCTCCTATATGATACCAGCATTCCCTTGTGGGTAGAAGCCCTGCAATTGGATTGCTGCTATGTAAGTCAACCTTCCCTTCCCAGTTAGTGTTGACTATATCAGGGTGGCCCCTGACACAAATGGGGTCTTCTTCCCTAGACTCTAGTGATGAGACTGAGAGCCTGTAGCTGGCCTTGCCAGTCATATGAACTGACAGGTGATAGAATGCTCATGGATCTTAAGCAGTGGACACCCAATACTTTTTCTTTGCTCAACGACCACTCCCCGCTTTACTGTTATTAGCAATAACCACTCCCATTTAGTCCGAGCATATGTGTGTGTGCGCGCGCATGTGTGCACATGTTAGGAATGAAGGATCAGAAGTGATATTCAACACGGTTAGCCATTATTATAATAGTGGCATTGATGAATCCTAATAATGTAAGTGAGGGCCATGAGAAATATAAATTAACTGATGTCAGACAGAATTAAGTCAGGGGTCTGCTACATGCTGCATGACAGGGAAGTCAGAAGATGGGAGATGCAGGCAGACCATGAGGAATCGCTGGAACAAAGACAATTCCTGCAAAGATTAATAGCTACTCACTTGTACCTTACCATGTACTCACACCATAAAGGGAAGACAGACTACAAATATACCTGGTAGAGGTTAAAGTTAGCCCCAACAGTTTTTCCACTCTCTATTTCCCCATAACAGTCATTTTCCACAGAAACAACAAACAGATATAAGCTCAACCTCTAGAAATGGTTGGGGTCTCTCTTCCTTCTCTTATGAGGAGAGTCTACCACGCTGTCCATGGAGTGGCTCTTCCTGCTTATCCTCCATGTTCCATACACTTGCTTCTGCTTTAACCTCTTGTCTGGCTCCCACAGAGAATCTTTCTTGCACAAAGCCACGAAGCCTCTTGGCTTAGGGCTCGAGTTTCCCTTAGGGACCCCCTTAGGGGCTTGACACTAAGCAAGTGATCCCTGAATATTATCTCAGGGGTTGTCTTCAGTCTCTCCCAGGGTCAGAGGTGATCATGTGATCCAGGCCTGACCAATCAGAGGCAATGATTACCTGGGCTTCAGAGATTGGTTTAGGTGTGGGCACATGACATAGGCTGGTGGAAGAGTTCCAATTAGGAGTGAAATAAATAGATTTTTAAAAACAGAAAAAACAAATTATATAGTCTCGCCCATCACCCCCCTCAATAAAGCTGGAGGTAATAGCTCCCTGGGTTCCTAAGGACTCTCTTTTGTGCCAGTATCCAAAAAGACAGTCTGCTTCTAAAGCATTTGTATCCTTCATTTGAGAAGTATTTATTGCACACTCCATAGGTGTGAGGCGATACAGTGTGAATGCCAGAGACAAAGGCGTGCATACAGGTATACGTACACCCCTGCATGCTGCTGTGGAGCTGAAGGATCACAGACGGAAAGCCAAGAGAGAGTGAGGCATGGGAGCTCCTGAGAGTTCTGCAGACCTAGAGGTTGTTTTGATCGCCTCTGTTAAGGCGCCCCATTGTTTCACTTCCACTCCATTAAGCTCACAGATCAGTGAGAACTGTGGGAACCAAAACACATAACAACAGCCTAATGCACAGGTTAGCAAAAAGATCTGACTGTGAACAAAGAAGGACTCTGGAGAGGAGTAAGGATCTGGCCTGCCGGGAGCTAAGCCCCCTACCGTGATTCAGGGGAAGACAGAGCTGACAGAGGAAGAAGGGCCCAAATAACCAGAACCCTTCTCACCTGGAAGCAAGGGAGGGGGGCGCGGGGGAGGCGCGGACAGTGATTGTGGGTACGTTTAAATAACAGCACAATCATCAGCTCCATTTATCTGCTTACCTCCAAAGCGAGCTCTCCGTGATGCTCCCCAGGTTATAGTCATAGAGCTTTGTCAAAATGAGAATCACCTGAAGGCAAAAGAAGACATCATGGTTAGTCTCAAACAATTACAATCTCGTGGAAGTGAAATGACCCAAGGGAGGGCTTAGGATTCCTTTAATGTGTGCTTAACATAATTGAATGAATTGTTACCGCATTTACTCACACTGACTGGGGAAGGGTTTGCGTGCCTTCCCCTGAACTGTTCAAGCCTGATCCCTCACCCAACTTTCTCCCTGGCTTGCCCACAGCAAGGGTTACCTGCCCATTCCAGGCATTTGTGCCCAGTGGGCTTATCACTCTCAGGGAAGACCTGCAAAGCTGTCAAATATGTTCCCTGCATGGTTCGGTGAGTCAATACTAGTGGCCCCCAGCCATTGAAACTGTACCACACTGGGCAGGTTACTGAGCTTCCCCGAACCTCAACATGCTATCTCCCAGAAAGTGTTGCTGTGGGGAGTTATATAAACTAAGAAATGCAAGTTATCCTGATTTAGCTTGGGGTTCCCTCCCTCCCTTCCGCCCTCCCTTCTCTGCAGGCTTGGCTTTATCCGTTTCTTCTGATCTCCCAAATTTGGGAAAAGCCACTGGATGGAAGAAGCCGCAAGGGCTCAGCAACAGCATGTTAACAGGCTCCAATCTATGTTTTACGGGGTTCTGAAGTCTATGGAATTTGGGGAGCCCTCCATAAGTAACGGAATATAAGATTACGATTTCAAAATAGGAGCAGATCCTGGGAAGGGACCCGTCCAGTGGGGGGGCACTACAGTTTAAGCTTCGTTAACATCTCAGCAAACCTTCCTCTGAAATTAACCTACTGCTCACTCAGAGGAACCCGAACTACTCAGCGCATTCTTGCAGAAGTCAACAAACACTTATTAAGCATTTACCAGGAGCCCAGGATTTAGCCTAATGCCAGAAGAAAATACAAATACACATAAGGACTGGGAATCTATGGTCCAGTTAGGACAGGATGCACGCGTTGAATAAAAGAGGTAGAGAGCGGATCTGCCTCTTCTCAGTCCCACGGAGACTCATGCCCATGATGGCAGCTTGAGAAGGCTGCTTGTTTCAGCACCTGCCGCAATGACCAGGGTCCTCCTGGTTAGAGAAGTACACGGGCACCTGGGCACTTGGGTAGGCTAAACAGAGCAGTGCGTTCCAAACCCCTAATACCCTCACTCCTTGCTTGTTCTTATTACATAAGGGAAAGAACGAAATGGGGCTGCTCCATTTCCTGTCAAGGTCCACATTCCTCTCTTGATACTCATAACCTAGAACACTTGGCCCACTACTGCTGTTTCCAGCTCAGCAGAAAAAGGGTGACATTGATTTCCAGGATTCTGTCTGAAGGCCAAGGGATCAGTTTTAGCCACAGCGAGCACAGAACACTCTAATCTTGATTGCCAGGGCAGCGAGCTGCCAAGGAACGCTGAATCCTTCCAAGTTCCATTCTGCTACACGGGGCTTGATTTACTGATGGCACAAGCATCAGCGAGCAGAGTCTGAGGACTTCTTTCACAATAAGAAAGTGGAACTCCAAACCTTAGGTTCGTTCCAAGTTCAAGACCATGCAGAAGATACGGGGACCTGTGCGCTAAGGCCACCCGTCTCCTAAAGCACTGCACAGGCTTCCTTCAAGGATCTGTTCAAAACCTGCTTCTTTAGCAAAATGTGAGCATGTGTGAGGTGCTGGGCACCCTGTGGGCACATCAGATGGCATGCCTATGGTGGCGGCATATGCTTAACAGATCCATGTGTCAATTAAGTTGCTCGAAGTGCTAAATTTCAATCACCGCCATCCCGGGAACACTGATCAGCAGCAGCAGGGTGGCTGTTTGTTTGAAGACACAGAAGGATGTTGCTGCTCCACCTCATCGAATAGGCCTATAAATCCCCCACGGAGAAAATGGGAGTAGTGTGAGCGTAAAGCATTTCTAGGTAGTTGCTCTCTTGATACAATACAGCCACAAACTAAATAAAGAAGCTCAGCTGGTCACAGGCTGGGTCCCCCATCCATCTGACGACAAAACTCAAAGGGACTGCAGAGAGGGAACACTTTCACCTAGCACACAGTGGTGTGGGGCACCCCACCCATGTGCACAGCAATTGGTTAAGCAATTCACCGGCAGGCAGGTAGCGAGGTACCAATGGCTCTTCTTGCTGGGCTAGTAAAATGAAAATGCCAGCGGTACACTCAAGCACTCATCAATACTGCGCCGGAAGAGGTGTCTTTTCTGGCATCTCAAAGCCTACCTGCGTGAGCCGATCTAATCCTTCTGTTTTCAGAATGATCACAGCAAGAAAGAAGGGAGAACTACTAACTTTTAGTTATGGTTTCAATCCATTATTTGAAATCTCTTGCCCCCCCTTTTTCCCCTTCACTGCCCATGTGCATTATTTAGTATAATAACTTCCTCCTGGGTAGCAATGTGTCATTGGATTAGATCTGCTTTGCTGTTGTTTGTTTGTTTTTCTGTCCTGGTCTGTTAGTAATGCTATTTAACAGAATTAGCACCTGTTCAAGAGGCCCCAGTACAAACCAGCACCATTAGACGAGAAAAAAAAAGGGGAATGCAATTGCTGCCTATTCTGGTCCTATTTTCTACCATGTTTTGTGATTTTCCAAACTTAAAAAAAATCAGCCTTGGCTGGGTTGCTCAGTAGGTTGGAGTGTCATCCGTACATCAAAAGGCTGCAGGTTTGATCCCCTGTTAGGGGGCATGCGGAGGGCAACCGATCGATGCTTCTCTCGCACGGTGATGTTTCTCTCTCTTACTCTCACTCACTCTTTCTCTTTCGCTAAAAGCAATAACTATATTCTCAGGTGAAGATTAAGAAAATCAATGGAACTTTTTAACCAAGTGAAATGTTATATGTCCTTAAATAATATATAAATGGTCATTTATTTTTATTCATTCAGCAAACAATTTTCATGTACAGAGTTAATTCTATGAGTCTGAGTGCATAGCATTTAATTATAAACCCGGTAGTAAGAACAAGGCTGTTTGCCTGAACTCACACTCACACAAAAGGGATCCTCCACCAGCCTCTCATTTCTGTGTGTCTTGTTTTCACTCTGTAGTACTAAACATCCTTGGTTCAAAACAGTGAGTGGTCACCCTATGGTAATAGCTTTTTGAGGGGTTCGTTTCTAAATTTGGAGGATACTTTCTTTAACTAGCGATAATCCAAATATCTATGGCTTGACAACTTCTACCTAAATCGTGCCAGACTTCAGTGCCCAGTTATCTCTAGGGCTTTCCACAGTTACATGTCCAAGTAATCCCCAACCAGTCTAGGAGCCACTATCCCCACAGGCCACGTGTGCTGTACTTGTGCTGTGGCTCCTTCCTGCCGTATCCATTGCTGACCAAACTCCTGGGGGAAACTTTAGTTTGTTCATACTTATGAAGAACATGCTCACCCACCAAGCTGCTATTCAAAGCTTCCACTCCCTAAAGGGTGGGAGGCACCAGAGCAGTGCAGGGCTCTGTGCAGGGTGAGCGAGGGTCTTCAGGGGACTGGTCCCAGGCATCCTCCCCAGTGCTGAGTCCCATTCTCAACACCTTCGCTCCCCAAACTAGTCTCCCTTTGCCTGAGGTCTTCCAAAGTTCCTACAGAATGATTCTTCCAGCTCCAGCTTCTTGCCTCTCACCTCTGTACGCAGGTGTTAATAAACCATCCCATTAAGAAAATGTTGCATCACATTTAATATACAGTGGAATACTATTATTCAGCCATAAAAAGAAGGAAACTCTGCCATTCGAAACAAGATAAGTAAAGCTGGAAGGGGCATTTTACTAAGTAAAATAAGCCAGATAAGAACAAATACTGTAAGGTGCCCCTTACATGTGGAATCTTAAACAAATAAACAAACAAACAACAAAAATGGTTTTGTAGAAACAGAACAGAGAATTAGTTTTGAGGACCTAATGCAGAGCATGGTGACTACAGTTCATAATACAGTGCTGTATACTTGAAAAATTCTGAGCGTAATCTGAAACATTCCATTTAAAAAAAAAAAAACCCTCAAAACAACCAAGAACAACAGAGTTAACAATGTGATGTGATGGACATGTTAATTCATCTTGATCATGGCAATCATTCCACAGCACACATGTATATCAAATCATCACATTGTATATTTTAAGTGAATACTGCTATATTTGTCAATTATTCCTTAATGAAGTTTAAAAAAAGGAAAAGAAACCATCACTGGGAACCCTGGGGAGGAGGGGGAAATGCCAACCCGCTCCTCCCCTCTTCTAACCCAAACTCCTATCTGTGCTCAGTTACAAAACAAAAACATTCATAAAGAAAAACACACTAGTATACAGAAGACTAATAAAGAGTGTTCTAGCGTAAAACAACAAAAGCCAGTGAAAAATGTTCTCTTGTATCGAACAGCAGGGCAAGTTTTATTTCCAGGATGTGTTAGAATGAATCAACATGGCAGCAGACTAAGTTCAGGCCTCAGCAGTCTGCATTATGCCAAGTATTTAGACATGGGACACCTCCGAATGCAACAGTTTGGTTTTTTTAAATTAACATGAAAATATAATCTAGAGACAAAATTCACACATTTAAGGAACCCCTAAAACACCTTCCTGGTAACCTGATTCTACACAGTAGCCTTTTGAAAACATACATATTAATTACTAGAGTGCAGAGAACCAAAATTCATACATTTCAAAAATATCAGCATAAGATTTCTCCACTTATTTTCTCAAGGAGAAAACATAGTGTCTTGACTCTTTCCTTTGATAACTTAAAGGATGCATCCCAGAGGAGGGGGACGTGTGGGGAAGGTTGGGACAGGAGTAAATATATTTCACATTCCCTTCACTCGCCCACAGGGAATGTTCATATTCTGCTATGAATTCTCTCTCCTAATTCTTTTCTTTTAAATCCTCACCCAAGGATGTTTTTATTGATTTTTTTTTGGAGGAGGGGAGAGAGAGAGACGTCAATGTGAGAGAGAAACATCAATCAGGTGCCTCCTCTAAGTGCTCCAACTGGGAATCAA